AAGTATCTTGGTTGAAGATAGATCATCAACTTTTACGGAGAACTGATTCGCAAGCGATACCTTGATCAGCCAGACAAATACCCCAAAGTCTGGGTCTTCAACACGTTTTTCTATGGACGATTGCAACAAGGCTACTCCAATGTCCGAAGATGGACCAAGAAAGCAAACGATATCTTTACGTACGACTATGTGATTGTGCCAGTGCATCTTGGGAACCATTGGGTGTGTGCAGTCATGAACATCAAAGACAAGAGGATCGAGTACATGGACTCACTCTTGGGCAGGAATCCACAGTGCCAAAAGGTCTTTAGACTCAGAATAGTTGCTTTTAGACTATTTGAAGCAAGAATGTTTGGATAAGCGAAAACAAGAACTGGACACGTCAGATTGGACCATGTATACCCCAAAAGTACCCAGTTTGATCCTAGCCCACACCCAATCAGGAAAACTCATTTGACTGTGGAGTCTTTACATGCATGTTCATGGAGTTTAGGTCTCGTGGACAAGATCTCACATTTAGTCAGTCTGATATGCCCTATTTGAGACAAAGGATATGTCTAGAGATCTTGGAAACGAAATTGTTGTGATTTCTTTCTCATGCTCACGTCGAGCAATAAATTGGATCACATTAGACAAGCATCCGTCTTGCTAGAGACACAGCTTCAAAAAGACAGGTGCAGATCTTAAACCAAGTTACCCAGACCTGTACCAGCTCTATAATGCACGTCAGAGAATTGGATACAACTACGAGCCAGACCAAGGCTCCAAATACAATTTTCTGAAGCTAGACTCATTCAAATCACTCCCAGACAAGATTCTGCAGCAGTATGAATGTACTTGTGTTCACAATAGCACTGCAATCTCGCAGTTTCATGGGAATGTTTCCAGAAATCAACCGAGTGTGGATTACGATTGACAGTCGTTTGTATCTCTGGAACTACGAGTCAAACCAAGTGAACCAGTCGATCAATGCGTTTGAGGATCAGGATCAGATTATCATCACAGTTGGACTCGTAAAACCAGTCAAGGGAGTGTTTCTGGAACAAATCGAGTACCTCTTGATTGTATCAACACCACTCGAGATCTTGATTCTTGGTGTTGCTTTCAACGACAAAAAAGGAGCAGTGCGTGGCCAAATGACCATCTACAACACTGAGATGTCTTGTGCTTCTGACAATGTCAACATGACCAGCATTCAGGGCACTCAAAACGGACGTGTTTTCATGCGTGGCAACAATGGTCAACTCTATGAGCTTGTCTATCAAGTATACATTGTGATTCTAGGCACACGATGGTTGGTTCACTCGCAAGATTAGGAAAATCAACCATTCATCCAGTGGCATCTCACTGTTTGTACCTCAGTTCCTAAACTTTGGCAGCGAACAGTTTATCACCCACTTTTTGGTCAATGATGAACGCAACACCATTTATGCGGTCACAAAGGACAACAACATTGAGATCTACTCACTCGGTCAGGATGGCGGCAAGTTTGAACGTTTAGAAGGCGTTCGTAATGTTTTGCAAGATGCCGTCCGTCTGTCAGAGTCTCCACAGTCTCCTGTTGAAGAGCGCAACTTCCAGATCGTTTCCATTCATTGTGTCTTGCAATCAGAGTGCAGACACTTGGATTTGGTTGCCATCACTTCCACTGGACACAGACTCTACTTTTCGCACTCTGACTATGATCGCTTCCAGCAAGTCCAGACCAGAAGACTCAAACTTGTGTTTGTCAGACATCCACCACAAATGTCATCCGGGTTGCAATATGGTGGTCAATTGGCCAAGATTCATCAAGCACACTATGCTAATGGCATCACCATCGCTTCTCAAGCATTTACAGATGAAATCGATCGTGTCTTGTGCTTCTCATTAGACACTGGCCTGATTTCACAGGCACCCCAAAAGTACCTGGCTGAAATCATGAGTTCTATCGACATTGATGGCAAGACATGGGCTATTGTTGAAGCACATACCCCACACTGGAAACAACTCAAGAACGACAAGATTCCTGGTGCGTATCTCAACGAACTTGTCACGCAGTTTGAGTATTCTCCTCGCAAGTTCTATCTCTTGACAAACAATGGCTTGACTGGCATTGTCAAACTCAGACCAGTTGATGTCCTCGTGACGATGATCATGCAACAGCAAACCATGGATCTCAGACCATTCAAACCATTCTTTGACACCTTTGGCAGTGATCAAGCATGCGCCATGAGTTTGGCAGTGGCTTGTGGACACCAATTGATTTCTCAAAACGTCTATGGTCTCCAAAGCAATGTTGTCACCCTTGCAACAAGATTGTATCTTGAGATGGGTGGTGTTCCAACCGTCAATGACACTCAGCAGCAGAATGGTGGTCCATTGGGAGTGCCATTGTCGACACAGGACACAAAGTACAGCTCAAAGCACAATGGCATGGCACTTTACTTTGCTCGCTTGTTGAGGCCTGTTTGGAAAAAGGAGATTCTTGTCAAATCAGAAAAGAACCAGAGTTTGTCTGTGGATGACTTGATCCAAGTCCAAAAGAGTCTCGAGAACCTGGACAAGTTTTTGAAATCCCTTGGCCATCAGTTCACTGCAGCACCAACACCTGGTGACAGACCCAACACTGTTGATCCTGATGCTTGGAGAGCTGAACAGCAATCGATTGCGAATATGTTTGAGTTGTTGCAGCAAACGATCGAGTCTCTTGCTTTCATTTCCATCATCCTTGATTACCAGTTGCCACAATTGGCACAGAAACTGGCTCCAAAGGACCAAGAAGAGTTGCGTGGATTGACGTTTGAAGCATTTGTGACTACACCTCGTGGCAAGGAAGTAGGAAAGGCACTGATGGCTGCACTCGTGAATCTGCAGATTGAACGTGGACTGGGAGTCGAGACTGTGGTTTCTACGCTCCAAGACAGATGCTCTACCATTTGCGAAGCCAATGATGTCATTCTCTTCAAAGGCATTGAATTGGTGCAATCTGCAAGAGCCAACGCCAACATTGGACAGCAAAACAAGCTCTTGGCTGAGAGTGTGGGTTTATTTACGTCTGTGTTGAAGTCAGTCTCGTTTGAGAAGCTCAGAGACATTGTCGAGTCCTTCAAGTCACTCAAATACTACACTGGCATCGTCGATCTTGTCTTGACCTATGCCACTTACTTGGATCCAGTCGAAAACGTTCAATTGGATGTCACGACGCATCAATCATACTTTAAAAAGTACGAGTGCTATGTCTTAATCTTCAACACTCTAGGATCGTTTGAAGAACACAACCTCAACGACAGAGAAGCCATGATCCAGAGATGTCTTGCCTCCAAGGATTACCAGTTCCACACGTATCTCTATGATTGGTTCATCAAACAGCAACTCGTCGATCATCTTTTGAGAATCAAGTCTCCCTATTTGGAGCAGTACTTGTTGTCTGAAAAGCAAGACAGACAAAAGGCAGATCTGCTGTGGAAGTACTATGTCCAAAACAACAAGCACGTCCAAGCTGCGATTGTGATGTCAGAGATTGGTCAGTTGCCCCAGTTGCTGTTGTCAGAGAGAATCGAGTACTTTACCAAAGCCATTTCCAACTGCAAGAGTGGTGATGGTGCTCAAACTTTGTTGGTGGAGTTGAACGATCTCTTGGACGTTTGCAAGATCCAGATGGAGATTTATCAGCAACTGCAAGCACGCCAGCTGGACCCATCCCAATTGCAGCAGCTCGAGTACACGTTCTTTGACATGAACCAGCTCTTTATGGACTGGGCTTGGCCATACAAATTGTACGAGATCATTTTGTGGATTCTGCATGTAGCAGAAGATGCCAAAGCAGCTGGACAGTATGCAGAGTACTGCTGGACAGAGATGATCAGAACCAGTATCTCTATTAACGTTAGCAATTGAAGAATCCTTGTCCAAGACACAAAGTCCGTTTGAAGCCTTGGGTTCCAAGATTATCTACAATGGTCGCAAGTTTTACCCAGACGACAAAGTCTTCCCACTCTTGGTGCTCGTGAGCAAACTGGAACAAGTGGGACTACAACGCTCTGGCGACAATGTCGATCCACGCTGGTTGGTGCATTCTTTGGAGCAAGCTGGCGTTCCAACATCTGTGATCTTTTCAGTCTATCACAGCATTTTCGAGTCTAAACTCACTCCATGGTCGACTCCAGCTGCGATTAAGCACCTGATTCGTGCCATTGTGCATCTGCTGGACAAGTGGACACAGAATGTCCATGACCTTCGGTAATTGGTTTAAAAGTAGCTACGACTTTCCAGCACAGCAAGTAGACGATGCCATCACAAAGTACCTGGTGACTTTTATTTCGGACCAATCTCAGCTCGTGAGCCAGCTGCAGCAGATTCAGTCACGCATTCGGTCCTTCTTTTAGTTACTGGGACAGAATAGTGGCATAATCGTCATAAAATATCTTCTTCTCAACTGGATCCGTGCATGCCTTTAGTCAATCTCAAGACCGTGAGCATTTCGTCGATTTCGTCGTTCGAAAACACTTCTCCTTGAGAAGTTAGATAGGCCTTCAGGGCATCTGGCAGTAGATACCCCTTGTTTTCTGTATCCAGTCTCTTGAAAGCTCTGAAGATGGTTTCTTCATTCGCGCGTTCCATCAACCCAGTCGACAAGAGCCTCAACGCTACTTTGTGAAACTTGCTGAACGTCACGTACTCTGATGGCTCATCTTCTCCCATCTCCTTAATCAACGCTGCCAATTGCTCTTGAGAAGGATAGATATTCAACGATCGCAAAATAGACCCGACTTCACGGGCATCACAGGTTTCATTCGACTGCTGGTCAAAGAGTTCAAAGGCTAACGTGAGAAGGAGTGCCTTTGCGAATCTTTTTTGTGAGGTCTTGTTCGCGTTGGTTCATCTGACGCAAAGAGTTTCTTCCGTGTCTGTTGTTTCATTCAATGTCATTTGAAACGATGCGATATGAGACAAGGGGAAAATGAATGGAATCAAGAAACAATATGTTGATATTACACTGAGAAAAAATGAAGACATGTGGGGTTGTAGCTCAGTGGTAGAGCACCAGATTGCAAATCTGATGGTCGCCGGTTCAATCCCGGCCAATCCCTCATGTTTTCATTTTTCTTCTTTGCAATCTAACCTCTTTTTGCTTAAAGAAGAGTCTGAGAGCTCTCTGGTGCATAGTTTATTCGGCAGTTGCTGGTTTTGGACGAGGAACGTGTCTTGGTTTCTTGGGTGTTGTTCTTGGTCTTGGAACGGTGTTGGATCCACCATAGACTTTGACTGGCTTGTCAGTCTTTTTTGACACTCTTGTAGATCTGTCTTTGGCAGCCTTGATCTTTTCTTTCACGACTGCAGGTTTGGTGGCTCTTGTGCCTTCAACCACTGGCTTGTCTTCTTTTGCTCGTGTGATTCTGATTTTTCTTCCCTTGATCTCTGTTTCATTGAGCTTCAATGCCAGACTGATGGCACTCTTTTCCTTGAACTGGACATAGCCAATACCTTTGCCAACGTTAGTCTTGCGATCACGAATCACGCGAATGTATTCGACTGGTAGGTCTTCAAACAACTTCCACAGGTCTTCGTCCTGGATATCAAATGGCAAGTTTCCGAGAAAGATGCTGCGTTTGGTGTCTTGCGTCGATTGCTGTTGTTCCTTTTCTGAAGTGTCGACTCTCAGATGGTGTCCTTCAAAGACATGGCCGTTCAGTGAGACTGCCTTTTCTGCTGCTTCTTGTTCCTTGAACACGATGTAAGCATTAACGGAATCACGTCCTTCGTGGAACTTGCCAGCCATGAAAGCGACTTTACGAGGCAGCTTATCAGAGAATGCCTAATCTTAGACCGAGTACGATGGATCTGAACCTGACACTCTCGATTTCGCCAAACTGTTCGAAAAGCTGTTTGAGGTGCTTTGGCTTCTTGGAAACTTGCACAGGAACGTTTCCGACAAAGCATGTTCTCTTGTTTCTAGTGCTGAGTTCCTTCTTTTTGTCTCTGCGACTCTTGTGCTCCACCACGTCTTCCTCTTGCTCTGGTTCGACTTCTTCCACTGGCACTATCACTGGTTGTTCCTTTTTGGGCTCTGTAAAGAGTGCAGCCACATTCTCGTTGACGTTGATTTGCGAGAACATGAATTGCAAAGTTTTCACGATGCCCATTTCACATCCTTGCCCCGCCGTCCCAAGACGACCCACTTTCCAACTGTGCAATGTGATGCATTGATCATTCCAACCACATCTGCATGATTCAAGGGTTGTCTGTGATGCCTTTTATCTACTCGATCCATGCTGGACATCCACACAGACTCACGATGGAATGGACACTTGCTCACTCATGCCACTTCTCAGTCCACACGCTGCCATCCAGAGACAGATGCTGCAGACAGATCCAAGCTGTCACTGTTGACAGATGTCAAGAGTAAAGTCAGTCTGCCACATTCAACAGACATCCATTGGTGAGACACTCCTGAACCCACTAGATCAGCTATTCTGACACAGGCTGGTTGCACTGTGACGTAGTCTCAACACACAATCTGGTGCTCATCTGGCGACACTGCCTGTCTTGGAGATCTTGACCAGTGCCTCACAATCTGTCCATCAGCGCTGCCACTGTTCCGTCGATCCAAGGCTGTCTCTTCAAAGGAGCAGACATCAGAGCATGGCAGTCTAGTCCCTGTGCATTCCATCGTTCCAGCACATTTCGTGCCATCTGCAAGTGTCTTGGTCTCCACTCTCATTCTAGTCTCTCCTGTCCAGTGTCATCCAATCTCTGTCAAGCACCATCAAGCAGCAAGTCTCTGACTAACAGCAACAAAAAGTCATCTACACTCGAAAGAGTGCAAGATGGATGCACGCCTAACAGGCAAGCGGTAAGAAAATACTGCTCCGATTTGTAATATCTATTGCAGACTCCTCCAAAGTCGGTATCCATATGTGGAGGGATGTCCTTTGGGCGTCTGAACAAGTTTGCAGTTGATAAAAGTTTGCTGAGGTTTCGGGAAATGCCGTCGTTAGAGACTTGTCTCATACAGCCGATAATGGACAAACCAAATGGTTATATGAGCTCAGACTCTCCCCTGAGCCAGGTGGGGTCTGTAGATTCTATGGTTGATGAGAACCAGAAGCAAAATGTCATCAAGGACAAAAAGGCAGCTCCAAAAGAGGTCGATTTTGAAAAGTCAAGGGCATCTGAGGCTCCGGTTGATTTGACGGTCAAGATGTCAGTACTGAGACAAATTGAACTAGAATTTGAAAGGTTCCAAGCACAGTACTCTTACTGAGACTAGGTTCTTGCAGGACGAGAGAGACAGGCTGGATCATGAAATGGAGCAGGTCAGGAATGGTTATTTTTCTGAGACTAGGGACACATCCAGAACTCATGAAGCTGGAGTCAGAACTGGAACAGAAGCAGGCTAGAGAACTGCAAATGCTTGCTTGTCACTTTGAGTTTGAAAAACGCAATCATGAAATGCTATACCAGTGCCAACTAGGACAAATCCATGCAGCTTTTGTGGTATCTGATCTCACTCCAGAACAACAAGCGGCAATTGCAGCAAAGGCTCTCAACAAAAGTCTCAGACTGGATGCATTTCCGCCCAAAGCGACACTATCCAACAGGTGCTTTTGCTGATTTCAGATACCCAGGAACTCAAGCGAAAGAGACTCAAGCGATTCGAATATCAGTACAAATTGGCTGGTTACAACCACTATGGCATGCCATGTGCTCAAGTGCTCCCACTAGAACCCGACGAAATTTTAAACGATCTGGACATCCTGGGGGTACAAAAAGCTAATCTCAGATTGAGCCCCCGCCGGATCTGCAAAAAACAAAAAAATCACATGCGCCACACCGACGGCATTCAACAGAGAACTTTGTGGTTTCGAAAGACGCTATCATAGTAGATGGCAAAGTGTATAGATGCAACGAGACAGCAATGCTTTTTGACAGTGGACAGGCATTTGTCATCAAAATTGGCGCTATTGGTCCAGACGACATTGTCGTCTCAAGGCAAGACGGATCACGGACAAGACTGCCTCATGCTTTTCTCCTGGACGGACGTGTGCGTCTTGGGCCAAAGCCACTGTAATGAAAAAGCTTCAAATTTTAAATTTTTGATCGCCACTGGATCTCATCCATCTTTTGCATCCCACCTCTCTTGTTGCGTTCCATTCGCAATACACGCTTTGATTTCTTGTCTTGCTCTGATGTCTGCGAATGCATGTAATCTCCTGGGAGAAGTGTGTAGCCATCCAAGAGTTCTGGCAACACTGGCTCCACAAACGGCCCCTTTTGGGTCTTGATCATCTCCTGCAGCCTGTCGAAGGTGTAAGACTGCAGTTCTCTCAAGATACAATACTGTGGTGGAAAGAGCTCAATCTTTTGCTGTTCAAAGAGCTCTAGTGTCTTTTGTGGTGTCTCCCAAAACAGATCTACTGTTTCTGTCCCATCTTTGGTGATTCTGGTGCTGTTGCGTGTGTTTTCAGACACTGTAGCTAGATAGAATCGAGTATCGAATCGCTTTGGTGCTACAACAGGTGTGATCCAGTTGGCCCAGTACACCAATCTGTTGATGGCTGGATATGCTCTCAATCGGCGCATGAGGGCAATGTACTGCGATGCATCCTTGTGTACATTCAGTCTCCAACTCTCTAGATCGTCTAGCTGTCGCTTTGGCTCTGTCAAGAGCAATCCAGCTTCCTCAAACGCTTCTCTCAAACAAGCGATTCTGTAATGACTATCTTCCATCTTGCACTCTTTCAGCACACAGGACCAGTAAGGATCCAAGTCGTTTGGGTCCAACTGCCCTCCTGGAAACACCACCAGTCCACCAAATGATCCTCTGGCATTTCTCTTCATCAACAGCACTTTGAAATGATTCTGAAACTGTGAACAGACAATCAAACTGGATGCTTCTCTCAGCATTCGTGACAAAGTTCTCAATGGTCATGTGCCCAGTCTAAAAATCAGATTCTCAAGAGATCCACTGCTGATGTTGATTGGGAGCAGGAATCACTGCTCCTTTGGATGTCCGATTTGTGTGATCTCATGTGAAACTGTCTTGGATGCTCTCATGTGTCATTTTTGAGTCGTTTTAGTGCAGTTGTATGACAGATCTGAGAATGTGAGATTTGGGCCAACTTCGGACGACAATTTCTTTCCCATCTCGCGATCAGTACTCGAGTTGATCATAGTGCTTGAAGCCACTCTCAGAGAAGCCGGTCTGTTTAAAAAGGTCTTGGATGCTGTAAAGGAAGTTGTCTCTGATGCTAATTTGGAATGCTCTGAAGCTGGCATGGCCCTGCAGTCGATGGACTCGTCCCACGTTTCACTGGTTCCAACGTTGACGATAGGTTTCCTTCTTGTTGCGTGCCTCTGGTTTTGAGCAATACCGCTGTGATCGCTCACTGAACTTGGGTCTCTCGATCGTCAACTTGGGCAAGATTCTGAAATCCTGCGCACCAGAAGATCAGTTGACCATCAGAGCTGACGACAATGCTGATCACTTGGACCTGACGTTCGAAAGCAAGCGTACTGAGTTTGATGATAGAAAATAGAACGTCCGAATACAACCTCAAGCTCATGGATATCGACTCTGATTCCCTGGCCACACCCGAAGACTTGGACTACGATGCTGTTGTGACAATGTCTGCTGCCGAGTTCCAACGTATTGTCAAGGACATGACTGTTATTTCCGACACTGGTACACCCATTCATGGTAGTTGAGATCGACGTGAGCAAGGAGGGCATCCGATTCAGTGCCGAGGGTGATATGGGCTCTGGATCTGTTCTTGTGCCAAGTGGACAGGCTTCCATTGATGAAAAGGATGAAGATCTGATGTGCAGCATCACTGTCAAGAAGCCAGTTGTCTTGGCTTATGCACTCAAGTACTTTGTCAACTTTGTGAAGGCGACTCCTCTTGCCAAGAGAGTCACTCTTTCTCTCTCGACTGAAATTCCATTGATGGTTGAATATGCTGTCGGTGAAGTTGGTTATGTCCGATTCTTCCTCGCTCCAAAGATGGATGACGACGAATAAAGTTTCAAAATCTTGTGTCTAGATGGTCTTGATGACTTTGAGATGACTGCATCTGACTTTGTCACGCTC